AGGCCCATTGTTCCCCACTGTGTTTGAGTTAGTAATAATTTGTAGAGTGGCTCTATTTTCCCTTAGCATGCATTTTTTCACTATTCTGAATGTCCATATGTTGTTCTGAAATATGAACACAGAAATACTGGACATTGAACTCTTATTATGGTGGTGATTTGACAAAATTACAATCATGGTCTTAAATTGGACTCGCATTTTTCTGGTCTCGGTCCACCTACGGTCTTGGTGTTGACTCGGTCTCACTTTAGGTGGTTTCGAACACAACACTGCCCCAATCTATGGATTTCACATGACTGGGAATACAGATATGCATCTGTTGGTAACAGATACCTCAACAAAAGGTGGGGCGTGGATCAGAAAACCAGTCAGTTGCTGGTGTGACCACCATTTGCCCCATGCAGCGCAATACATCTCATTTGTATATAGTTGATCAAGCTATTGATTGTGGCCTGTGGAATGTTGTTCCACTCCTGACAGGTGTGAAGTTGCTAGACTTTGACGCGAACTGGAACACGCTGTCGTACACGTCAATTCAGAGCATCCCAAACATGCTCAATGGGTGACATGTCTGGTGAGCATGCAGGCCATGGAAGAACTGGGATATTTTCAGCTTCCAGGAATTGTGTATAGATCGTTGCGAAATGGGGCTGTGCATTATCATGCTGAAACATGAGGTGACGGTGGCGGATGAATGGCACGACAATTGGCCTCAGGATTTCGTCACGGTATCTCTGTGCATTCAAATTGCCATCGATAAAATGCAATTGTGTTTGTTGTCCATAGCTTATACCTGCCAATACCATAACCCCACAGCCACCATGGGGCGCTCTGTTCACAACGTTGATATCAGCAAACCGCTCGCCCACATGATGTCATGTCTGCCATCTGCCCGGTACAGTTGAAACTGGAATTCATCCACGGAGAGAAAACTTCTCCAGCATGCCAATGGCCATCGAAGGTGAGCATTTGCCCACTGAAGTCGGTTACGACGCCAAACTGCAATCAGGTCAAGACCCTGGTGAGGACGACGAGCACGCAGGTGAGCTTACCTGAGACAGTTTCTGACAGTTTGTGCAGAAATGATTCGGTTGTGCAAACCCACAGTTTCATCAGCTGTCCGGGTGGCTGGTCTCAGACGATGGTGGACATTCCTGCAGTCAGCATGCCAATTGCATGCTCCCTTAAAACATCTGTGGCATTGTGACAAAACTGCACATTTTAGAGTGGCCTTTTATTGTCTCCAGCACAAGGTGCAACAGTGTAATGATCATGCTGTTTAATCAGCTTCTTGATATGCCACACCTGTCAGGTGGATGGATTATTTTGGCAAAGGAGAAATGCTCACTGACAAAGATGGAAACAAATTTGTGCACACAATTTGGGAGAAAGAAGCTTTTTGTGCATATGGAAAATTTCTGGGATCTTCTTTTTCAGCTCATGAAACATGGGACCAACACTTTAAATGTTGCGTTTATATTTGTGTTCAGTATATCTGGATAAGGGGCATGAGTTGACAATAGAGATAGAGGACTCTAGTGCCAAAAAGCCAGTTTGAGGTTGTTCAGCAGAGTGGCAAAATCAGCAAAGCAGGGTATACATTTGTGATACCACTCCACCACCCCCAGACACCTCTGGAGATTTGGTAGGTTATGGGGAGTAAGGTAGTTGCAGTCTTCTCTTTGCTATTCTCATCCATCTCAACTTGCCAGTTGCCAGACTGGAGGTCCAGGGTGCTAAACCAACTTGCTAGTAGCCAGACTGGAGGTCCAGGGTGTTAAACCAACTGGCACCATACAAAGATTTTAGGATTTCATTTATGAAGGGCATTGGGTAGGCATCGAGAGGCATCTTGGCATTCAAGCCTCTGAAATCGGTGCAAAACCGATAGGAGCCATCAGGTTTGCCAACCACCACCACAGGGGCTGCCCATGAGGATTGGGATAGTTCGAGGACATCATTCTTTTTTTTTTCATTCTTTTTTTCACCTTTATTTAACCAGGTAAGCCAGTTGAGAACAAGTTCTCATTTACAACTGCGACCTGGCCAAGATAAAGCAAAGCAGTGCAATAAAAACAACAACTCAGAGTTACATATGGGGTAAACAAAACATAAAGTCAAAAATACAACAGAAAATATATATACAGTGTGTGCGAATGTAGTAAGTTATTGAGGTAAGGCAATAAATAGGCCATAGTGCAAAATAGTTACAATTTCGTATTAACACTGGAATGATAGATGTGCAAAGATGATGTGCAAATAGAGATACTGGGGTGCAAATTAGCAAAATAAATAACAATATGGGGATGAGGTAGTTGGGTGGGCTAATTTCAGAAAGGCTGTGTACAGGTGCAGTGATGGGTAAGCTGCTCTGACAACTGACGCTTAGTGAGGGAGATAAGAGTCCCCAGCTTCAGAGATTTTTGCAGTTCGTTCCAGTCATTGGCAGCAGAGAACTGGAAGGAATGGCGGCCAAAAGAGGTGTTGGCTTTGGGGATGACCAGTGAGATATACCTGCTGGAGCGCAGACTACGGGTGGGTGTTGCTATGGTGACCAGTGAGCTAAGATAAGACGGGGATTTGCCTAGCAGCGATTTATAGATGACCTGGAGCCAGTGAGTTTGGCGACGAATATGTAGTGAGGGCCAGCCAACAAGAGTGTACAGGTCACAATGGTGGGTAGTATATGGGGCTTTGGTGACAAAACGGATGGCACTGTGATAGACTACATCCAATTTGCTGAGTAGAGTGTTGGAGGCTATTTTGTAAATGACATCGCCGAAGTCAAGGATCGGTAGGATAGCCAGTTTTACAAGGGCATGTTTGGCAGCATGAGAGAAGGAGGCATGGGCAAGTTGCAGCGGAGGGTGCAGAGCTGGTGGCCGGGGTAGTGGTAGCCAGGTGGAAAGCATGGCCAGCCGTAGCAAAATGCTTGTTGAAATTCTCGATTATTGTAGATTTATCGGTGGTGACAGTGTTTCCTAGCCTCAGTGCAGTGGGCAGTTGGGAGGAGGTGCTCTTATTTTCCATGGACTTTACAGTGTCCCATAACTTTTTGGAGTTAGTGCTACAGGATGCAAATTTCTGTTTGAAAAAGCTAGCCTTTGCTTTCCTAACTGATTGTGTATATTGGTTCCTGACTTCCCTAAAAAGTTGCATATCGCGGGGGCTGTTCGATGCTAATGCAGTACACCACAGGATGTTTTTGTGCTGGTCAAGGGCAGTCAAGTCTGAGGAGAACCAGGGGCTATATCTGTTTCAACATTTTCTCCATATGTTTTCCAATTAGCTCTTTCTTAAGGGGTTCAGCCTGGACCGAACCGTGACCGAACCCAAATTTGTTTACATTCCTCTTAGTGACCATTTGTCCTTTGCCAAGATGATCCATCCACCTGACAGGAGTGGCATATCAAGAAGCTGATTAAACAGCATGATCATTACACCTTGTGCTGGGGGCAATAAAAGGCCACTCTAAAATGTGCAGTTTTGTCACCCAACACAATGCCACAGATGTCTCAAGTTTTGACGGAGTGTGTAATTAGCATGCTGACTGTAGGAATGTCCACCAGAGCTGTTGCCAGATAATTTAATATTCCTTTCTCTACCATAAGATGCTTCCAATGTCGTTTTAGAGAATTTGTCAGTACGTACAACCAGCCTCACAACCACAGACCACGTGTGGGCGAGCGGTTTGCTGACGTCACCGTTGTGAACAGAGTGCCCTATGGTGGTGGTGGGGTTATGGTATGGGCAGGCAGGCATAAACTACGAACAACGAACACAATTGCATTTTATCGATGGTGATTTGAATGCACAGAGATACCGTGAAGAGATCCTGAGGCCCATTGTCGTGCCATTCATCTGCCGCCATCACCTCATGATTCAGCATGACAATGCACAGCCCCAAGTTGCAAGGATCTATACACTATTCCTGGAAGCTGAAAATGTCCCAGTTCTTCCATGGCCTGCATACTCACCAGACATGTCACCCATTAAGCATGTTTGCGATGCTCTGGATAGATGTGTACGACAGCATGTTCCAGTTCCCATGTGTCGCTCTGCATGAGGCAAATGGTGGTCACACCAAATACTGACTGGTTTTCTGTATCCATGCCCTTACCTTGTTTTTAAGGTATCTGTGACCAAAATCCACATATTTGTATTCCCTATCATGTGAAATCCATAGATTAGAGCCTAATGAATTTATTTTAATTGACTGATTTCCTGATATGAACTGTAACTCAGTAAAATCTTTGAAATTGTTGCATGTTGCGTTGATTTTCTTTTCCAGTATAGTATGGTCTACAGCTTATCATACAGCATATCATAAGGTAATATTAGAGATCGCGCACCACCCCCCATGAGTTTGCCCAAAGCTGCCGTTCTGTCCTGCCGATGTATAGAAAAAACTGCTAGATTTAAATTGTCCATGTCCTTGTTCAGCCATGACTCGTAGAAACATAGGATATTACAATTCTTCAGATCACCTTGATAGGATAGTCTCCAATGGAGCTCGTCCAGTTCATTCTCCAGTGATTGCACGTTCGCCAATAGAACGGAGGGTCGAGGAAGTTTATCCACTTGCAGACGTAGTCTCGTCAGGTATCCCGCACGCCGGTCTCTATAAATGCGCTTCCTCCTTCTTCGCGTGTCGGGGATTTGGGCCTGGTACGGGATGAGCAGCATTCGCCTCTGACTCATTGAAGTTGAAATCCTGATCCAAATCAAGGTTAGTGATCGCTGTTCTGATGTCTTTTCGGCCATAGGAAATGATGGCGGAAATATAATGTTTAAAAAAATTAAGATCAGCTCCGTTTAAGATCAGCTCCGTTTTACAGGAGCCTGTAAAACGGCTGCTATTCCCTCCAGCGCCATGACTCAGTTCAGTAGAAATCATATTGCAGGTGTTTGCCTTGATTTTTTAAGTTGACTCAACAACAACAACAAATGACAGTGTAGGTATGTGGTTGTACCTGGATACTAGGCGTGTGTGTGTTTACCTGGGAGTTTAGGAGACGGATGGTGGTTTTGGAGCCGACGTCTTTCTCGTACCCCACGGTGGGCGCTGCGTTGAACCGCAGCACTGCATCATGGGAGTCTGTGATTAGACAATGATACAAAAAGTACAGTATGTATATATATATCATTCATTTGGAATCACTGAAGTTACAGATGCTGCACTAAAGTGGGCTTATAAGCTTTTTTGGATGCATTTCTGAGTTGCCCATGTATTTAGATTCAGGTGGAGTGTATGGTTGTATATTGTGTTGTGTTTGTAATGGACAATATACCACACCCCCTCGGGCCTTATTGCTTAATTAACCCCCTAGAGTCGATTGACAGCCCGATGAGTCAATCTAAGTTACATAACAAAAAAATCTGTCAGTTTAAGCTAGAGATATCTTTTTTTTTCATTACATTTTCGTCACTTAGCAGACACTCTTATCCAGAGCAACTTACAGTAGTGAGTGCATACATTTTCATACATTTTTCGTACTGGTCCCCCGTGGGAATCGAACGCACAAACCTGCCGTTGCAAGTGCCATACTCTACCAACTGAGGCAAACGGGACCCATGGGATGCGTCTCAGTCCACCGCATCCGGCAGTGTTGCACTTCCACATCTGTGGTGAAAGGCGGCAGAGCTAGAGTGGTGTTTGTCAGACCATGAGACATCCCGAAAATCGGTCTCCTCACGAAAACGTCTGTAGCGTCCGAACGGTTTGACCTACAAAACTATTAAGGAAAGGGGAGACTCTTTGCTCTATAACCCCCACAAGTGTCACGGGACTCGTCTGAAGGTATGTGTCTAACCAAAAAAACTGGGTTAAATGTGTGTAAAAAATATATACAGTGCCTTCAGAAAGTATTCAGACCCCTTGACTTTTCCCACATTTTGTTACATTAATGGATTAAAATCTCAGCAATCTACACACCATACCACATAATGACAAAGCAAAAACAGGTTTTTAGAAATGTTTGTACAAAAATCTAAAAATAAATTAAATAAAGACCTTATTTATGTAAGTATTCAGACCCTTTGCTATGAGACTCGAAATTGAGCTCAGGTGCATCCTGTTCCCATTGATCATCCTTGAGATGTTTCTCTCACAGACCTGTAACTTCTTCTTTAAGAGGCTCCTCTGTCCTCCACTCGTTACCTGTATTAATGGCACCTGTTTGAACTTGTTATCAGTATAAAAGACACCTGTCCACAACCTCAAACAGTCACACTCCAAACTCCACTATGGCCAAGACCAAAGAGCTGTCAAAGGACACCAGAAACAAAATTGTAGACCTGCACCAGGCTGGGAAGACTGAATCTGCAATAGGTAAGCAGCTTGGTTTGAAGAAATCAACTGTGGGAGCAATTATTAGGAAATGGAAGACATACAAGACCACTGATAATCTCCCTCGATCTGGGGCTCCACGCAAGATCTCACCCCGTGGGGTCAAAATAATCACAAGAACGGTGAGCAAAAATCCCAGAACCACACGGGGGGACCTAGTGAATGACCTGCAGAGAGCTGGGACCAAAGTAACAAAGCCTACCATCAGTAACACACTACACCGCCAGGGACTCAAATCCTGCAGTGCAAGACGTGTCCCCCTGCTTAAGCCAGTACATGTCCAGGCCCGTCAGAAGTTTGCTAGAGTGCATTTGGATGATCCAGAAGAGGATTGGGAGAATGTCATATGGTCAGATGAAACCAAAATAGAACTTTTTGGTAAAAACTCAACTCGTCGTGTTTGGAGGACAAAGAATGCTGAGTTGCATCCAAAGAACACCATACCTACTGTGAAGTATGGGGGTGGAAACATCATGCTTTGGGGCTGTTTTTCTGCAAAGGGACCAGGACGACTGATCCGTGTAAAGGAAAGAATGAATGGGGCCATGTATCGTGAGATTTTGAGTGAAAACCTCCTTCCATCAGCAAGGGCATTGAAGATGAAACGTGGCTGGGTCTTTCAGCATGACAATGATCCCAAACACACCGCCCGGGCAACGAAGGAGTGGCTTCGTAAGAAGCATTACAAGGTCCTGGAGTGGCCTAGCCAGTCTCCAGATCTCAACCCCATAGAAATCTTTGGAGGGAGTTGAAAGTCCGTGTTGCCCAGCGACAGCCCCAAAACATCACTGCTCTAGAGGAGATCTGCATGGAGGAATGGGCCAAAATACCAGCAACAGTGTGTGAAAGACTTGTGAAGACTTACAGAAAACGTTTGACCTGTGTCATTGCCAACAAAGGGTATATAACAAAGTATTGAGAAACTTTTGTTATTGACCAAATACTTATTTTCCACCATAATTTGCAAATAAATTCATTAAAAATCCTACAATGTGATTTTCTGGATTGTTTTTCCTCATTTTGTCTGTCATAGTTGACGTGTACCTATGATGAAAATTACAGGCCTCTCTCATCTTTTTAAGTGGGAGAACTTGCACAATTGGTGGCTGACTAAATACTTTTTTTCCCCACTGTATGTCAGCATAGCACCCAATATTATCGGCCAATATTAGTCTTTCACAGAAATATTTGTATCGTTCTTTATTCCTCAGATAAAGGACTGATATTATATACATATAATGAAATGTTCAATGGTTGCCTGAAGAGGGGGCTCTACGAGATGGTAGCATCCACATTAATGTAGAAGTCTTTGGAAACATATTCAAGTCTTATTTACAATAAAAGTGACTCCAAAATGACACAATACATTATTTATCATTCATTTCTATTCGGCACAAAATAATCTGAAACACAACCAAAACAAACAGCAAATGCATCCAACAAGTTGTAATCATTGCGTGCTAGGAATATCAGACCAAACTTTTGACTACTTTAATACACATTAGTGAATTTGTCCCAATACTTTTGGTCCCCTAAAATGGGGAGACTATGTTCAAAAACTGCTGTAATTTCTAAACGGTTCACCCGATATGGATGAAAATACCTTCAAGTTAAAGCTGACAGTCTGCACTTTAATAGTTCTATTGTTTCAAATCCAAAGTGCTGGAGTAGAGAGCCAAAACAACAACAAAAATGTGTCACTGTCCCAATACTTTTGGAGTTCACTGTATATTTAGCTAAAAAGCCTGTTGATTAAATTGATTGTTTCTTTGTAGTTAACTAGCTTGGTTGTAGGCTGCAGGCTACCGTAGGCTAGCACAGTAACGTTAGAGTAGCTAGCTACACCTTTACTGAATGACAACAACGTAGCCTGAACACTATTCTGTCTAGCTAGTTGGGCTTGGAAATTGATAAATGAACATATGGAGAGATCACACATTCATGCAGCTGTTGTGGTGTCACTCTTTTAGCTATCTACCTGCTTTAAAGAGTGAACATTATCAAGCCTTTATCCATACCAGAAGGTCTCCCATGAAAGTAATGTTGATTTCAATGGGGCAACCAGGTAATTAAAGCTAATATGTTGTGTGGTCTCTCTCACTATATAGAAATGTGTGGTTCAGTGGCAGATTTTCAAAAGAAAAAAGACAAAGATCAGATGAGGCATACCTGGTCTCATTAATTTACAGATGTTACTTAGATTGAGAATGATTTCCATATCTGTTATTGCTCATGGTGTAAATATGTGCTGTTGTTTTAAACACACAGCAAACCAAAAGCTGCAACCATTGCTGTGGGTGCCGTTTAGACAAAGGTGATGTATATCTCATTCAAATGGAATATAATTCATAAATGCGGCACCTTCATTTACTGTGTGGATATCTTTATAGATTATGCATACTTATTGTAAATATTCCATTCCAATAGTCCTCGATTCCGGAACGTGAACCCGCCTGACCCTAGCAGGAAGGACCAAGAAAAAAGTGCTGGCTTAAGGTACTGTATGACTTTGTATTGAGTAAAATTAAGATCACTCAAGTTAATATTTAGATTTAGAGTGACTGACATGAATTGGAGCATAAACAGGCTTAGTCTACACTCAGGTGGAACAACGGATATGCAATGCATTTGTCAACAATGGTTGTGCCAATTCATTATATCACAACGGTTGAGAGTGCATACACACTTGTAGCCTACATCCGTTGTTAAACTCGACTGATTGACTAAGCCCTAGAGGTTATGTAACTTCACATGATTTAGCCTACGTCAATCCAGATCTGTATGTTTGATATTCGTTTTACTGTACACTGTTTATAGTAATTGACGCCAAAGCTAATCACTGGAAAATCCTACTACAAGGACTCGGTCAGGTTGACAAACATCTGTGTCATATAAACAAAGACACACACCAGGGATTGCCAGGGTGAGTACACTGAGCAGTCCGGAAAAGCTCCTAATGTGCATTTAGTGACTGAATACAACAAAAAATAAACAGTACAGCGACATGATCACACAGTTGACAGTTCACTCTCCGCCTCTCAATCACATGCTCGCTTGCTCACTCGCTCACCCACTCACTCACTCACTCACTCACTCACTCACTCACTCACTCACTCACTCACTCACTCACTCGCTCGCTCGCTCGCTCGCTCGCTCGCTCACTCGCTCACTCACTCACTCACTCACTCACTCACTCACTTACTTGCATAGTTTAGCTTTATGATTATTGTCATTTAAGGTTATTGGGCCGCTATTTCAGGAGAGGAACAACATGCATGACCTTCTAGCTCTCCTCTCTGCTGAGACAGCTCTAACAGTGGTCCTCTCTACAGGCTGTCCTGCTCCGCTCCCCTTTGGCACCAGCTCCTGCCACAACAAAAGAGGAGCGGTCTAAAGAGTTCCTGCTGGATACAGGTCATTCAAATGATATCACACGCATACGTATGTGTGCAGGCACGAAATCATTCTGTCTCTCTCTCTCTCTCTCTCACACACACACACACACACACTGCATCATTCGTGGGAGACAACATGTTTACTGTTGCCTTGTTTTAGGATTGGAGATATTTAGGCCTACAGATTCTGTCATCCATTTCCCACAATGGACATGTGTCCGCTAAGTGTTGCAGTTGGGCTTCCTCAGTTGGTGGATAGGGCATAGTTAGGAGAGATACATTTACATTTTTACATTTTAGTAATTTAGCAGACGCTCTTAACCAGAGCGACTTACAGGAGCAATTAGGGTTAAGTGCCTTGCTCAAGGGCACATTAACGTCATTTAGCAGACGCTCTTAGCCAGAGCGACTCACAAATTGGTGCGTTCACCCTATAGCCAGTGGGATAACCACTTTACAATTTGGGGGGGGGGGGGGGGGGGTTAGAAGGAATACTTTATCCTATCCCAGGTATTCCTATTCCAGAGATGGGTGACTGACAAGGACAAATAAAACACATGCACACACACACTCTCTCTCCTTCTCTGTCATTCTGCCCCTGAGCAAGGCAGTTAACCCACTGTTCCCCGGGCGCCGATGACGTGGATGCCGATTAAGGCAGCCCCCCGCACCTCTCTGATTCAGAGGGGTTGGGTTAAATGGGGAAGACACATTTCAGTTGAATCCATTAAGTTGTACACTAGGTACACTTGACTAGGTATCCCCCTTTCCCTTTCTCTCTCTCAAACACACACATTCATGTGTTAATACATTGTAATTACTTATTTATTTGATGTATTCTCTCTCTCGCTCTCTCGCTCTCTCTCTCTCTCTCTCTCTGGAGATATCTAGGACTGGGGAATCAGTCAGTCTGATATTGTTACAGAGTTCTAGTGCAACTCTCGAGAGTGCAGTGTTAAAAAGAAACTGAAGGTTTATCATTAATAACTTTCTATAATGAATACATATTATTTTAATATTGATTGTTGAGAGTTTTAATTACTCAACAAGTAGTGTCCCAGGGTGGGATCAAATAGTGTCTCAAAAGCAGGCAGAAAAGGTCATATAAGGGCACAAAAAACATGCTATGGCTATACCCGACCGGCCGGGGCGTGTGTAACAAGATGGCGCCGAAAGACATGGCAGCTCTGCTTCTAGCTCCTAAGCAATTTTGCAGTATTTTGTTTTTTTGTGTGTTATTTCTTACATTACTAGCCCAGAACTTTTTTTGTGTTATTACATACAGCCGGAAATAACTTTTGGATAGCAGAGCAGCGGTAACTCACCAGCATTACGACCAAGAATACGACTTTCCCGAATTAGATCCTTTGTTCGTACCCCCCAGGGCAATTGAACTTATCCCAGAGGCTGCTCCAAGACGCCGATGGTGGAGAAGAAGTATTCGGAGTGGACTTCTAGTCCGACTCAGGAGGCGTGCACACCATCCACTGCTTCCGAGTATATTACTCGCTAATATTCAGTCTCTGGACAATAAAGTACACGAGCTCAGGGCGAGGATCTCCTCCTAGAGAGACATCATGGCTCTCTCCGGATATACAGTCCCCGTCCATACAGCCAGCTGGGTTCTCAGTACATCGCGCAGACAGGAATAAAGGACTCTCCGGGAAGAAGATAGGCGGTGTTGTATGTTTCATGATCAACTACTCATGGTGTGATTGTGATAACGCACAGAAACTCAAGTACTTTTGTTCACTCGACCTAGAATGCCTCACAATCAAATGCCGACCGTATTACCTCCCAAGACAATTCTCTTCAGTTATAGTCACAGCCGTGTATATTCCCCCTTAAGCTGATACCACGACGGCCCTCAAGGAACTACACTGGACTTTGTGCAAACTGGAAACCACATATGCAGAGGCCACATTTATTGTAGCTGTGGATTCTAACAAAGCAAATTTGAGATAAACGCTTCCGAAGTTCTATGAACACATTGACTGTAGTACTCACGCTGCTAAAACGCTTGAACACTGTTACTCCCCCTTCCGGGATGCCTACAAGGCCCTCCCCCGCCCTCCCTTCGGCAAATCAGATCACAAGTCAATTTTTCTCCTCCCTTCCTATAGGCAGAAACTCAAACAGGAAGTACTCGTGCTAAGGTCTATTCAACGCTGGTCTGACCAATCAGAATCCATGCTTTAAGCTGTTTTGATCACGCGGACTGGGATATGTTCCGGGTAGCCTCTGAGAATAACATTGTCGTATTCACAGACACGATGACTGAGTTCATCAGGAAGGGGATGTTGTTCCCACTGTGACTATTAAAACCTACCCAAACCAGAAACCGTGGATAGATGGCAGCATTCGCACAAAACTGAAAGCACGAACCACCGCATTTAACCATGGCAAGGTGACTGGGAATATGGTTGAATACAAACAGTGTAGTTATTCCATCCGTAAGGCAATCAAACAGGCAAAACGTCAGTACAGAGACAAAGTGGCACCACAATTTAATGGCTCAGACACGAGACGCTCTCGTTATCCGTGGCCGACATGAGTAAGACATTTAAGCATGTTAACACTTGCATGTCTGCCGGCCTAGGCAGCATCCCTAGCAGCATCCTCAAAGCATGCGCAGACCTGCTGGCTGGAGTGTCTACGGACATATTCAATCTCTCCCTATCCCATTCTGCTGTCCCCACTTGTTTCAAGATGTCCACCATTGTTCTTGTACCCAAGAAAGCAAAGGTAACTGAACTAAATGACTATCGCCCCATAGCACTCACTTCTGTCATCATGAAGTACTTTGAGAGGCTAGTTAAGGATCACCTCTACCTTACCTGACACACTAGACCCACTTCAATTTGCATACCGCCCCAATAGATCCACAGACGATGCAATCGCCATCACACTGCACACTGCCCTATCCCATCTGGACAAGAGGAATACCTATGTAAGATTGCTGTTCATTGACTATAGCTCAGCCTTCAACACCATAGTACCCTCCAAGCTCATCATTAAGCTTGGGGCCCTGGGTCTGAACCCCGCCCTGTGCAACTGGGTCCTGGACTTCCTGACGGGCCGCCCCAAGGTGGTGAAGTTAGGAAACAACACCTCCACTTTGCTTATCCTCAACACAGGGGCCCCACAAGGGTGCATGCTCAGCCACCTCCTTTACTCCCTGTTCACCCATGACTGCGTGGCCACGCACTCCTCCAACTCAATCATCAAGTTTGCAGACGACACAACAATAATAGGCCTGATTACCAACAATGATGAGACAGCCTACAGGGAGGAGGTGAGGGCCCTGGTGCCAGGGGGATAACCTATCCCTCAAGTCAACAAAACGAAGGAGCTGATCGTATAAAACATATGTGGCCAACCCTCCGTCTGGAGAGTAACTGGGTGTGCAGGCTTTTGATCCAACCCTGCTCAAACACACCCGAGTCAACTTATCAAGGAACTGTTGAGCAGCTAATTTTTTACAATGTGTTAGAGCAGGGCTGGAACAAAACATGCACACCCAGTAGCTGTCCAGGACTATCCTGGAGGGTAGTTGGTGACCCTGCAACATTACAATTACAACCAAATACTTTTTATGTCTTTATAAAATAATTCCCTCATTCAATGAACCAGGGATCAAATGGCTAAGGTGAGCAACTTCAAAGCAAGGTAGCTAACTAAGACATGTTAATCTATTTGTAAGGGTAAAATATTCCGTTTTCAGGGGAGATCTTGACAGCATAGGAGTTACTGTACTTGTCAATTAGGCTATTCTAAGAATATTTTTTACTGAATAGAAGAGAATCCCAGGTTTCAGAATTATTTCTCAACACCAAATTTTCAGTGCTTGAGAGACGGTTTACAACTGGAGTATGAAGCATTGGTTCATCAACTGCGCACCCGTATCAACTGTCTGACGGCCATTTAAGGTTGTACATGAGCGCCGGTGGAAAGTTGTTTAGGGCATTGGACATGACAATGACATTAATACATGCTAAATAGTTAACTAGCGAGATAACTAGTCAAACACTGGCACGCATGCAGGTGATGCACACCATTACTTTTCCAGGATTTTCATTGCTGACCAAATATTTGCTATAACTGGGCAAATAACTCACTAACTAGCAATGAATATCAACAAATGTGCACACACTCACTTTGATCTCAAAAACGCATATCGCGAATGCATGATTGAAAGACCGCTCATGCCTGTCAATGCAGACCTACAATAATTATACTGCAATGCGCTCTGCAGAAATTGGGAGGACATCGCATCCAAGGGACACTGATCCAATTCTGTTCGGAGTAGCCTAATTGTTTGATATTGTGATTTTTTGTTTTACTTTTCCATTCGGACAACTTAAATCTGTAATCTGCTTGTCCGACATACTTGCCCCGGACAAATGTTAACGTCGAACCCAGCATTTGTATATTAGAAATATAAAAATAGGCATACATACGTCACGTGTGGCTCAGTTGGTAGATCATGGCGCTTGTAATGTCAGGATTGTGGGTTTGATTCCCACAGGGGACCAGTATGAAACTGTATGCAATCACTACTGTAAGTTGCTCTGGATAAAAGCGTCTACTAAAATGTAAATAAGATATGTTCATCATGTACCATTATTTTGCAACTAAATTAGTACTCCAAAGCTAATTAAAGTGCACTTTTAGTATATATGGGATATGCTAGTGACATTATTAACACACTTCTGATGCAAAATAAATCTAAAATAGCTTAATCTTCATGACTAATGTTCAAACTTAGACGTCAAACAGTATCAAGGTTCTGGTCTAATGCTTCTAAAAATGCTAGGCATAATCGTGTTCATGGAGCCCTCAACTAGCCTTACACCTCAGATTAGGGTGGTTTTTCTGTTGGTGTAACCTAACATTTTGTTTCCATACTACTTGAGAATAGCTTTAACTGTCACTAAAAGTATATTTTAAGTGTGTATAGAGTACATTTCAAATGATGTCTTACAAGTACACTTTAATTGGGTGATTTTAGTACCTAGAAGTACACTTAGGTGACTTTTAATAGTACTATAACACAACTTCTATACAACTTTAATGTGTTTAGTACAACTAAAGTTGTTCCAAAATAACACAATTAAATGTACACATGAAATACATGTGTACTAAGTATATTCAAAATACAAAAAATTAAGTATACTAAGTATACTTTTTCCCGCTTGGGTATGCCTCACCACACGCCCACACTTACCAATCTCCTTGCCCAGTCCAGAGTAGCGTAGTGACCCAGCCGACGACACCACTGCACAGCTCTTGTAGGGTCCAAGGTCAGAGGTTATGGGATGTAGGGGCAGCTGGGACGCCCAGGGCAGAGCGGAGAAGGGCTCGAGGTCAGGGGTCAGGGTCGCAACTTCTACCTTGTCCTTCAGCTGGCACAGCAGCTCTGAGCCGCTCACCTTAGGACGAGTGTCCACGCCCCCAGGACCAGAGAACTCCACACCATACTTATTCATCGCCTGGGAGAGAGAGAGAGAGAAATGGATTAAGGAAGACAGATTATGGGGGGAGAGAGAGAGAGAGAGAGAAATGGATTAAGGAAGACAGATTATGGGGGGAGAGAGAGAGAGAGAGAGAAATGGATTAAGGAAGACAGATTATGGTGGGGGGACAAGAGGGAGAGAGAGGGAAAGATAATGTTGATGGAGAGGTTTTAATAACTTCACTGAATGTTTCAAGACTCTTAATAACACTGCTAGCTTATTTTGTGTTAACTTATTTTTTTACATAAAAGATAGGACACATGGAAATGCATTTCCTTAGGCATTAATACATGCAAACACATTTATTTTTTACTGTGACACAGCATCAGTGAGATTCAAACCTATAATATTCTGTTCCCCATCCATGGAATTAGTCCACTGCGCCACCAGGATGGAGCTAGCATGCCATGTTGTTTTTACACATACAACGTTTTTCATTTTAGTCTATTCAAACAGACCCCATTTCAAAGGAAACAAGCACTCCTTAAGATCAGTTGTGGCCAATTAGTGGGTGCGGCCAACACACCTGAACACACTTAACAAGATAAAGGCTAGAGAGAGTTTTGTTGATGCTGAGAACGGAATTTAAATGTTTTTAAATAACATTCTTAGAACGTTTTCTGAACATTACAAAAGTTTTCTTATGGTTTTTATGGAACGTTTTCTTAACGTTCTCGGAACAGCAGTTGAAACAATAACAAATTGAACTCCCCACCACTGTTTCGCTAAAAAGCTGAGGGATGGGGCTCGAAAAATGTAACTCTCAAATTCATAGACAGAGCTATGGATGCAAAGACCGACTATCCATGATACCAAAATTATAATTTTAACCATGTTTTGAGGCTACACCGTGTTTGTTTACATTTATTTTGTTTACAAACGTTGGAGTAAAACAAGCTTATATTTGGGGTTCTGATGGGGTACGACAGTTGAACTAAGCTCACGATGCATTTGTAAGTTATATTCTTCAAGAATATATTATTAATTTATAAGTCCAAAAATGGATGCAGCTACTGCAGATTGCCCCTTTAAATGAAACCTGTAGGAAACGTTATGCTGAAGTACTGAAATTCCCACAGAAGAACGTTGTTTCTTAACATTCTTGGAACAATTTGAGAACATTACTTTAAAGCAGGGGTGTCAAACTCATTCCACAGAGGGCCGAGTGTGTGTGCGGGTTTTTGTTTATTAAGACCTAGACAACCAGGGGAGGGGAGTTCCTTACTAATTTGTGGCCTTAATTCATCAATCAAGTACAAGGGTGGAGCGAAAACCCGCAGACACTCTGCCCTTCGTGGAATGAGTTTGAAGCCTGAGTTTTTACTCACCAAAGTAACAACACAGTGTGGTCAAAAACTTAGCTGCAGTGGCTACTGATAGCTAGCATGAGGACAAAGATGACCTTTTTTAAGAGAAAAAAAATGAACAGTATTTCAATGTCGTCGATGTATCAGTGTGGATAAAGGTACAATTTGGAGTACAGTGTATATCCCATCCCTGCATTATACGTTTTCCGACCCATATCTCGCACCGGTTTCACAGTGTTTTAATGTAACCTTGATTGCGTTCCGACCCCAGTGCAGCTCATTGTAAACAAGCGTGATGGTAGGGTCGGTATCTTCTGGCAACAGTACAAGCAGCTCTGACTTCTCCTGCACCACCGGCAGACTTGCCTCTGGCTCAAAAGGAAAGTGGAAAATCATTCCTGCCTGTTCTAATTGTTTAGTCTGTTCTTCATTTGTTTTTCGTCCTCCAATTTGTTTGGTCAACTTTTCGGCCTGTTCTCTGTTAGTAGGCTACCAGCGTTTTTCAAACCTGGCTTAGTACTAGTGCGCTACAGTAGCTGACTGACTGTGCTGTTGTGATAATTTCCATCTGCTGGAGCCTTCCGATCGCTGTCTTATTGTTCACTCTTCCCCTCGTCTCCTGTGTCCAACGCAGCCTCTGGATTATTGCCTCTGGAATCTATCGATTTTGGATTTACCTCACTATATCACTGTTGGTTTAGCTGATTCTCCCTCGGTATCATTATTTGATAACTGGTTAGATGGCATTTTGTATTTCCAAAACGTTGGATTACTTTAATGTAAGCTACTGATAGCAACTGGTTGACTCATGCAGTCAAGTAACGTTAGCAGGCTGGTAGGGCTACAATTAGCAGGTTAGTATGGCTAACATTAGCAGGCTAGTTGGCTAACAACCTTTGTTTAATTTGAAGTTATTTCTGTTGGGAGTTTACATTATAGGGAACAGGCTGGCTTGCCGTGTCCTCCGCAAAAACATTTTCCGGCATGACTTTGGCATTCTGATCGGTTTTATGTTACTTTTAGGAAACGTTCCGTTAAAGTAATAAACGTTATGTGCTAGCTGGGCTCTTTCTCTCTTCTCTATCTCCCTCCGCCCCCTCACCTGATAGTTCTGCACCACTTTCCTCAGCCTCTTCCCCAGCATTTTACTGGACATCTCGTCGTCCCAGACCTCCCCCAGAGCTCTGTGAGGACCAAAAAATTCTGCATCCCCGACTGTTCCACTAAGCTCCCCCCGACGTCGGCCCCCAAACAGGGTCTCCATGGCCCGCATGAAGGGGCGCGGCAAGAGCCAGGCGAAGAATCCCGATGACTCTCGCTCTCTCATGGGGTGTTTGGGGTGTGACTCCTTAGCTGTGACTTCCTGTGTGTGGTTTGGGGAGGAGAGGACTGGGATTGGACGGTGGGGGTTGCCAGGGACGACGCCGGGGAGCTTCTGGGGGTCAAGGTACATGGGCTTGGCCCCGCCTCTCAGCACCTGGGGAAGAAGAAGAAGATTGCATGAAATAGAAGAATGGACAGAGTCTACTGTATGATACAGTATGAGGATTCATGAGCCTATGGCTATGAGTATGTCCGATGGGTTCAAAAGTAGTGCACTAAATAGAGAATAGGCCATTTCGGACATGCCCATGTTCTGCTGCTGATGCTCCCTGACCCCTCTAGAGAGACAGACAGACAGACCTTGATGATGGAGTGTGCCCGGGGCTGGGCGCGGGTCCGTGCCCGCACCCCAAAGATAGCATCGGTGACTGGTACGCTGTTCTCGGCGCAGAGGGCATAGAGCATTGCCATGGAGATGCAGAAGAGGCCCATACACAGCGCCCCGCGACGGGCCCGACGACGTAGACGCCACAGCAAGCTGACGCGGTCCATCGCTGCCCCGGGGTACTGGAGAGGCGGTCGGGTGGATGTAGAGGGGGGAGGAAGAGGTGGAGAGGATGGAGGGGGGAGAGAGGGTTGGGCAGAGGGGGTTCGATGGAGAGAGGGGGAGAGGGGGAGCGGAGAGAGGTAAGAGAGAAAGGGGTGCAGAAGGAGGGGTAGAGAGGAGGGGTGAGAAAGTGTGGAATTTGGGGTTGGAGAGAGAACAGCAAAGAGGTAGGGAAAGAGGAGAGAAGGGGGAGAGGGATAGGAGAAGGGGGTTAGAGTGAAAATTGGGGATGGGAGTCAGAAAGAGAAGGAAAGAGCACCATGATGAGAAGATGACAGTATGAGCCTTCCGACAACAAATTGTTTACTTTCAACAGCCCATGGCAACGCGAACAACACAATACTGTACCACAGGAGGAGATTAACATCAAAAGACCAGACTAGCGGAAACACACCTCCAGTATGCTATATATACATGGGCAAAATACATATTTTGATGTCTCACCCCTTTTCACCTACAGTATACTGTATATTCAAACAGTATGGGAAAACACATATTTTGAACGCTCCCTTTTCATCTACAGTACAAGAGTGAGCCTGCCCTTTCTACACAGTGTTATATTAACATAACAAACACAGACATGTTTTTTGTTAAATGCTGTGAGTCAGGTTGATACAGAAACGAGGGATGAGAAAGGAAAGAAGAGTCAGACTAGAAAGGAGGATAACAATGAGGTGCAGCGATGAAAGAAGTAGAACATATTGCGAGAGGAGGAAGAGAAAAGCGAGCCTCGTCACTGAGACTGCCTTGAGCCAGTCGGGCCAAGCGAAGGATGGACACTGGAGAGCGAGGAAGTGGAGGAAGGAGTGGATGACCTACAGAGAGATGTGGGTTGAAGGAAGGAGGGAGAGAGAGGGAATGTCCTATGAGGAAGAGAGAAAGAGCTTGATTCAGACTGACCTATGGAAAAAAATCTCAACAGGAATGAGATGTAATGATGGAGAGAGAGAGTGGAGCAGGGCCAGACAGAAACAAAGAGAGAATACCGTCAGAGAGATGGGGGAGGGGGAGCTGTGAGTTGGCCTTTAAACAAGGCTGGACTGGACACTGAGGCGGAGGAGGAAAACTGTCTTTCACTCAGAAGGGGAGAGAGGGGCTGAATTCTGATTCTCTACCCTTCTCTCTGTAGTGTGCAGCTGCCCACTTTAAAAGCATTGGATTGATTTAAGTGTGAGCAAGGAGTTTCCACCATATACAGCATCTTACATCAGCTCACTCTTTTGAAATTGAGTGGGATTGAACGACTGCAAGGTTAGGGAACAGGTGCACACTCTGAAGAGAGCTGTAGGGAATAAGTGCACACTTACACTGCATTCGGAAAGTATTCAGACCCATTGACTTTTTCCACATTTTGTTACGTTACAGCATTATTCTAAAATTGATTAAATAAAGAAAAGTTATCATCAATCTACACACAAAACCCCATAATGACAAAGCGAAAACAGGTTTTTAGAAATGTTTGCAAATGTATTACAAATAAAAAACAGAAATACCTTATTTACATAAGTATTCAGAACCTTTGCTATGAGATGTGAAATTGATCTCAGGTGCATCCTGTTTCCATTGATCATCCTTGAGATGTTTCTACAACTTGATTGGAGTCCACCTGTGGTAAATTCAATTGATTGGACATGATTTGGAAAGGCACACACCTGTCTATATAAGGTCCCACAGTTGAAAGCGCATGTCAGAGCAAGAACCAAGCCATGAGGTTGAAGGAATTGTCCGTAGAGCTCCGAGACAGGATTGTGTCGAGACACAGATCTGGGGAAGGGTACCAAAACATTTCTGCAGCATTGAAGGTCCCCAAGAACACAGCGGCCATTATCATTCTTAAATGGAAGAAGTTTAGAACCACCAAGCCTCTTCCTAGAGCTGTCCGCCCGGCCAAACTGAGCAATCGGGGGAGAAGGGCCTTGGTCAGGGAGGTGACCAAGAACCCGATGTTCACTCTGACAGAGCTCCAGAGTTCGTCTGTGGAGATGGGATAACCTTCTAGAAGGACAACCATCTCTGCAGCACTCCACCAAACAGGTCTTTATGGTAGAGTGGCCAGACGGAAGCCACTCCTCAGAAAAAGGCACATGACAGCCCACTTGGAGTTAGCCAAAAGGCACCTAAAGGACTCTCAGACCATGAGAAACAAGATTCTCTGGTCTGATGAAACCAAGATTGAACTCTTTGGACTGAATGCCAAGCATCACGTCTGGAGGAAACCAGGCACCATCCCTACGGTGAAGCATGGTGGTGGCAGCATCATGCTGTGGGATGTTTTTCAGTGGCAGGGACTGGGAGACTAGTCAGGATTGAGGGAAAGATGAACGAAGCAAAGTACAGAGAGATCCTTGATGAAAACCTGCTCCAGAGAGCTCAGGACCTCAGACTGGGGCGAAGGTCCACCTTCCAACAGGACAACGACCCTAAGCACACAGCCAAGACAACGCAGGAATGGCTTCGGGACAAGTCTCTGAATGTCCTTGAGTGGCCCAGCCAGAGCCCGGACTTGATCCCGATCGAACATCTCTGGAGAGACCTGAAAATAGCTGTGCAGCGACGCTCCCCATCCAACCTGACAGAGCTTAAGAGGATCTGCAGGGAAGAATGGGAGAAACTCCCCAAATACAGGTGTGCCAAGCTTGTAGCATCATACCCAAAAATACTAGAGACCGTAATCGCTGCCAAAGGTGCTTCAACAAAGTACTGACTAAAGGGTCTGAATACTTAAGTAAATGTGATATTACAGTTTTTTTAAATAAATTAGAAACTATTTCTAAAAACCTGTTTTTGCTTTGTCATTATGGGGTATTGTGTGTAGATTGATGAGGGGGAAAAAAACAATTTAATCAATTTTAGAATAAGGCTGTAACGTAACAAAATGCGGGAAAGGTCAAGGGGTTTGAATACTTTCCGAATGCACAGTGGTGGTCAGAGGCCATACCAACCAGAGAGGTCACATGAGTCTGAATTTAGAGAGTTTACACTGTTTAATCTGCTGATTGTTGCTTTCATTATGTGGTTAGATACTGTTTACTGTCTGTATATATATAGAGAGAGAGAGACTAATTAAAGAGAATAATTAAAGAGTTGACGAAAATAATGAATTGGGAGCAGGTCGAGATCTGCTTGCTTGTTATCTTACACAGACACATTAGCTGAGCTAAAGCTACATGGAACTGTAGGGAACCTTCGAAATCAATATGTTCATGTTACATTATTTATCTGCTGTAGCGAACAGGCGCCCTTGCCCAGAGCAGAGCCACAGGCTTAGTAGGTCTGTGTCCCAAATGGCACCCTATTTCCTACATAGTGCACTACTTTTGACCAGAACACTATGGGCCCTGCTCAAAGGTTGTGCACTAAATAGGAAATAGAGTGCCATTTGGGACGCAGACCTAGTAGCTAACACTGGACCCTCCCTCAGCCATCCTCACATTCACAATGTACAATGTACATCCAGTGTATAGGCCTACTCCAGCCAACCCACTGACCTGGTAACACAGCCACAGGCCTAATGGCTATTGCTCCCTATTCCCTATAGTGCACTACTTAAAAAATAAGTAAAAGAAGAATCCAGCGAAATGGCACAAGTAAGTCAAAGGTTTAGCCAACAAAGCTCCAGACTGACCTATGAGAAAAATCTAAACCGAAACGAGATATAATGGTGGAGAGAGCAAGTAGAACAGGGCCAGACAGAGAGAAAGAGTGAATACAGTCAGAGGGATGGGGGGAGGGGTAGCTGTGAGTTGGCCTTTAACCCTAGAACCGCCTGGCCTTTCAGCCTTTAAGTACCCGCTAGAGAACATTGCCAGGCGTTTTCCTTTAGCATATGCATTAGATGCATATCAACCCGCAAGGTGCAGCAAACATAAGCAAAAACGCTTGATAAATAGTGCATAGACTATTATAAAGATTAGTTGGATGTAGAAATATTTGTGGAAATATATCAATAAAAATAAATAGTTATTTGCTTAGATAGTCAATTATATGTTTTGTATAATTCTACAAAGTCCTAGAAAATTTTTTTATAGCCTATTTTCGTTTTCCCTTACAATAAAAACATTACAGTGTCATCCATTTGATCAACTTTATTTGTAGATTCGATTAGACCTAGTAATAGGGTTATAGTAATTAATAAAGTCCAGTTACAGCTTATTTTGTCAAAGTAGAAACTAAAAAGATAATAATAATATAACCAGCCAGGTCACAGGTGAAATTATTTGCCGTACTACTAAACAAAAGCACCAGTGCATGGACAATTGTAAAGAATGAATTGCATAAAGAAATATTTGTGGAAATATATTCATGACAAGATATACAGTAAAAACAGTCATTTACTGATTGTATGGGACACTGTATTGTGTGCCCTTATATGCGTGCCTTTACGCATGAATCAATCTCGTCTTCTCTTTATGATTTGGGTCCACAGTCAGCACACAGCTTCGGGGCTTTATGTGAGCAAGCCCCACAAACAAATCGGTTGCACTGCACATAGTTTTCATTGGCCTTGTTTCGTGTGTACCTGCCGTAGGTGTCGCATCATCTCTCTGATGTGGTTGCGTGTCATGGTCTCTCTGAAAAAGTCCACCCCATACCTATCAGACCAAAATGACTCCACATCCATGCTCTTTCCGCTGTATGCTCAATATCTGATCCTCCATCCGACTCCAACTCATCTAAATTCTGCTGTCAGTGCGTCCATTCGTTTGGTTCGGCTTGCCATTGTGAACTACACACATTGTATGTTGTACTCAGTGTCTGATTTGACTCTCCAAGGGGAACTTATATACAATTTCCAGCCTTTCATTATAAAATAATTAGACCGCCCACAATTCTTCATTATTGCACTATTGTTCTAAATGTATTTATTTATAAGGGACAATGCACATTAATCAACATCAATATTACAATAATGCAACATCCATATAAATGTGCCGGGTTAGCCAAAAGCTAATTTGCACCC